CACCACCATCTTGCCCGTCCCCTTAAAATCGTAATCGACATCGTCTCTCAACCACCCGCCTTTCACTCCTTATTTCGCGGGGAAAATGCTAATTACCGGCGCGCCGCGCGAGCGGGCTTGACATTACGACGACGGCCGCGAGTCGAATTCGGTGAGAGTTACGAGAGAACGAGCGGGTTTCCCCGCGGTAACCGGTATCCGCCGAGCCGATTTGTCGCGTATATTCCTGAAACGTAGATTCAATTCGTCGCACGTTCGCGGCGGAACGCGCTCGAGATTTCCTCGCGATCTCATTTCAGATCTCTCCGCGACATCTCGCTCGATTTTTCGCATTCGCGAGGAGACCGACCGCTTATCTCTCCCTCTCTGTTTTTTCTCTATTCTCCTCTCTCTCTCTCTCTCTCTCTCTCTCTTCTGTCTCCGTGCAACCGCGTATGACTTCTTTCGGCTTCCTTCTCTCTCCCTCCTCGCCTTTCCCCTTCCAACCGCCCTATTCATCCATTCTTCTCTTAGCTCTCTTAGCTTTTTACGCTTAAGTGTCTTCGAAATGCTGAACAGGCTTCGTGCGCTTTGTCTTCCTCTCCTCTCTCTCTCTCTCTCTCTCTCTCGAGTCTTGTCAAAGATCTCACCGGCCGTTTCCTCGCATTCTCCGCTTTATGCACCGATGGATCTCAATGCGAGTCCATTCCGCTCTGTGCCGTCACGAAGGCTGGGCGCGTAACCGCCCGCGATTTCACGCGCCCGCTTGCGTCTTACGCGTTTGCAAGAAATGTAGGATTTAATTACCCACCCGTGGAATCGTATACATCCGTCGCCGGTGGTGAAAACTGATCGAACTACCTACGAGCTGACGGGGATACCAATTCGGTCCTGAGATACGGATTTCTCGTTGCGACACCGCGAATGACTTGAATAAGGGAGCGGAAGATGTCAAGCGGAGACTAGGAACGGGAGAGAGAATAAAACGACGTCATTGATTGCCTTCTTATGAAATTTCGATGAGAACTGAAGGGAGAGAAAGTACCGGGATCTTCCTGACGTATGTTGAGGCATCGTCCGCCGTAATCAAATTTGCTAACACCGAGGAGAATAAGCGCGAATGAGAAATCATCGCCACGGACGTTATCACGTAACTCGATTAACGAAACGCGAGCGATACGCCCGATTACGTAATAATCCGGCATCGCCAACGATACCGATTCGGATCTATTTGCCAAGCGGGGGCTAAACGTCAGACGCAGACGGTAATGAGTTGCGCGGGACAAATTAACGTAACCTGACTCTTTATTACCGACACTCGAATTTTCACGGATGAATAACGCTGTGTAAATAGTGGGTTAATTAAGAAATACCCTGTAGAAGATACATACATGCGTGCATATTAATCAGTTCTTTTATTAAACGTGTCCTACAGAACATCGAGGGTTAATTAACGAGGATGACACTGCACACGGGCGCGTCCAAGCTCACGGTCGCGCATTAAAGATAATGTTGCGAGATTCCGCGAGGTACACTTAATTGAGCGAGCAGAGATTAATTAACAAGACGGGTACGCGGTACGCATAAGCGTTTAATTAGTCCGTCCGTCTCTTCGTCGTTAAGTGGATGCTGATTAACTGTAACGGTCTCTAACTACGGTCAGAATTCACGGTAATTAATTAACTTTGACCATTGACTCTCTCTCTCTCTCTCTCTCTCTTTCTCTCTTTCCTCTCTCCTTCTCTCTTCACGGAGTAGATATTAAAATTATCGAGAGAGAGACACTTCCTCGCTGATTGCGAGGAGACACTTCAGCCGGCAGTCCCCGCCGTGTCGAGATAATTATTGCGCGAGTAGCTACGAAGCAGCTTCCGCAACGGCATAACGTTCACAAAGTTCTCGCAAATCCGTGCGATACGCCGAGTTAAGACAGCAAGCGTGCAATTAACACCTCGGGCGAGCTGTCCGTTCGTAAGTTTCAGCGGACTCGGAATAAAGCCGGCTTGAATTATTAACCCGCGCTAAACTGCTCCGAGATAGTCGCGTGGAAAAACGGATGGCCTTATCAGCCAAATCCGGATAATAAGAACGACCAGCCCGGGGGGGATGCAGACGAAATCGGAGCAGAACGCGAGCGAACGAGGGCGCGACGCGCGCCAACTTAATCCTAAAGTAGAAGAGAAGGTGGTATTATGGCCCCTTCTCTCAATTTACATCTGGTATAATTACTTTGTTGATGGTCAATATTTTAAATTGAAAACTTCACGGCACATTCATACAACAAACTTACATCTGCGTGTTGAAGTGTTGCCAGAATGTTGTAATAAAAATAACAATCGGACACATCAGTTTATCCGATGGAGATTTTTCTCAGCATAAAATTCGAGATGTTAAAGAGTGTCATAATACGTACAAGGGCGATATTAGTATCTTCTATTAATTGCCGCTCCGGGAAAGAAGGAAAGACGGAGGAGTGGGGAAGGGGGGGTGAGCGAATTCACCTCGGCGATCGCGCGATTTCACTCCGGGTCGCGCGTACGTCGCGCGGACGGTTCCTCACGGACTTGTAATGAAATGAAACTTTCATGCGGGAGAGCGTCCAAGACAGGCGCCGGGCGTCACGAGATAGACTCGTGTTACCGGAGAAATCCGCAGCGGTGCGGTCGTTTGATAGAGCAATTTCAACTTTCTCGACGATACTTGCAAACTGTTAGCGAGCGGTCGGCCGCTCGCTCACCCGCTCGGGAGAGACGTGTTCTCGTAACTGGAAAGTGCAGCGACTCGATGCCCTATAATCATCAACGGGTCGACGTTCACGTTCAATATTTCAGCCGCGGAAGTAAAGCCCCTGCGGCGGATAAATAACGGAATAGCGCGCGCGACGAAAAAGGGAAAGCAAACGAGCCGTGCACGAGCGGAAACCCGTCCTATTTTTTTTTATTTATATATATTAATATAAATGTCATAGCTTCTCGCGCGCGCGCGCGTACGAGAACCCCCGCAGTTTTTCACCCGTCCTATTTTTCCATCCGAAATATCTTCCCGCGTTCGAAATGCTCGTTTGTTATTTTTTCCCTCCCTCGTTTCGCCCCGTTCCTTGTTTTTTTCCTGTTTCAGCTCAAACGGATTCGCGTAGCGAGGGATTAAATTCCTCGATCGGACGTACGTAAAAAAAATAGCGACCGCCGCCGCCGTCAATCCGCATCGTCGAGCGAGCAGCGCTCGATCGACGCGAACGCGTGCTATGCGCTTTATAAATGCCAAGGTCGCGCTAAAGCTGACTCCGAACGATTCGCAAGTCGGCCGAGACTACCGGTGGATCCTCCCTCGTAATTGCATAGCTTATATCACAAAGACTTTCCCTGCCGGCGTACCCATCAAAGGCGAGTAAGCCAGCCACCTGAAAACCTCAATACAAACGCCTCTGTAAATCCCGCCGACGTTCCCTCCCCCCCCCCATCCCTCTCTCTTTCTCTCTCCATCTTTCCGGCGGGTCGTGAAAGCCAGTTCTGAGGGAACGATCGGGGAATCGAGCGGAGAACAAAAGGGAGGGGCCCGGCCGAGCGACTCTTTTTCGAGGCTGGTGCCCCCGACAAGCCGCCGGCCGGGCTGCGAAAATATCAAATGCAAATGGCTCTCTTGCGGCCCCGGCGGGCGTTCGCTCCGCAAAAATCGCCGACGAGGAGCCGGAAATCGAATTTCATCGCGGCGAGAGGAGAGACAGGCGCGCCGTTCGCGACGACGACATAAATATTCATTCGACGCAGCGCGATGGCGTTGCAGACGTCGTCGGCAGACGCTCGGTAGACATTGTGCGTGAAATCTACACGCCGGTATCTGCAGAGTGCAGTACGGGAGCGGGTCTGCGCGACGCCCTCGGCCCCCTTCATCTTCGGCAGGAGCAGCACTGAGCCCGTTCGGGCGGCGAGCGCGGCGAATGATGCATCGCCGGATATTTGGAGCATAAAAGTGCCGCACGTGTACGGCGTGATACTACCGGCGAGAACTCGCAAGTGGGACGGTGTGTTTACCGCGAGCACGGTTTGCTCTGAGTTACGATTTGCTTTGAGTTAAGAACTCGGAGCAAACGCGCCAACGCGTAACTCAGACTTAAGGATATCCGTCTGGGCGTTGTGCCTCCCCGACGACACCCGGCTCGGAATTTTGCTTCTGCGTTGATCCCCCAAGTTCCGTCGAACTTGGAGGAAAAGTATCGAGATGTAACGTTGCACAAGCTATTGTCTTATCTTGGCGGTGACGATTGGTTTATATTTATTCGGAGTTTCCTCCTTTGGGAAAAATCATCTCCGTTATATGGAAAGGAAGGAATCGGCCGGTCCATTTAATACAACTGAAATTTAGTTAAAAAACGATAATAATGAATTATGAAACAAGAGAGTTTGCTGTATCACTTACTCCATTAATATCACCATTTGCCCGTATTAATTATTTAATCCTTCGTTTTCAATGATTGTTCTCGAATTCTTGCTTTTAATGATTACTCGTTAATTTCAGACTTTTAATTTAATTAATACTCCGATAGCACCGAAGATTAGCACGTAAGGGAAGCAGCTTTCATCGGAACGCGTATGAATGCGCCTCACGGCCGTTAGACTGCGTTGCGCAAATGCGTTGCTCACATTGTCAGACGTTGACGTCGATGTACGTCATCGCGTGTCGACATTGTAATTCCGCACGAGACGCGAGCCGGTATCGCAATTAACAGCGTTACCAGACAAAGAGTGCACCTTCCAACCCGTAGATTGTTAAAAGCAATTGTTAGGAGCTCTTTAAACTCCGTGACGAGACCGTTGAATATATTAATCTCGAGCGAACCAACGAAGAAGATGGATCACCGACAGATGCTCGAGAAGCTGCGTAGAAGTGCGGATCGAATGCAGAGACGTCGGAGAAACGTCTCGTTAAGTTCAACTTTGCTCGAAATAACACCGAGAAACTCGATCGCACTCTATCGGCCACTATCGGGCTGGAAGAGCAAACTAAATAAATATATTACTCACCGTAAAGCCGATACCCACGGTGGCTGCGAAGTTTCCCGGCTGGAATCTTCCGGTATCGAACTGGACCAATAACGAAGTCTTGCCGACGCCGCTATCGCCGAGAAGGATTGTCTGCAAGCACGAGTAATCAATTGATCGCGCGAAACTTTCACGACTTCGTCGAAGCAATTGCTCGCCGGACGGGGAAAGATAGAAACGCGATTTATCACGATCTCTAACCCTTTATGAATCAGGACCGTTGCTCCGATAAAGTTAACACGCTTGGTCATTTGTGTATAATTAAAAAAGAAAATACAAAACAATAATTGTTCGCCTCTTCGTTACGACTATAGCCTCCCGCCGCAAAGTAACTTCCGTGTACAACAGCTACTGCAAGTCCCATAACGCTGACATAATCAAATTATTTTATTTACGCTTTACACAGATTAGACAATCTAACGTATAAACACAGAAGCGTTGTCAGCACAGCTGTGCACAGAGCAGTTGCTCTGAAATACACGCGCGGCCAGCGCGAGACCGTATAAACGCGTCTCGCGGCAGGGACAGTTCGTAACGAAAAGGTGAATCCGTGCTTAGAAGCGTGGCGAAGGTAACCATTATAGTAACAGCAGCTACCAATATTTAAAGATTTAATTTCCCCCCCCAAAAAAAAGAAGATAGTTTCGTCGAAACTTCCTCCGTTTTCCCTCGTGTAAATATTACCCCTTCTCCCCTGGCGTGTTATATTGCCGCGCACGTAGATCCGCGCGAGTACGTGCGCGCGATAAAAACTTGATAAAAGCGCTCCCGAAAGCGCGATTACGAGGACCTATATCGGTTTTCCGGCTGTAGCCGATGTAGTTGGTACCGTCTGTCCGAACGCAATCGCGCTTCTGCTTCGAGATTGTTTCGAGATTGTTTTGCCCCCCCCCATCTGGGAAGGACGTATAGGGGGAGAGAGAGAGAGAGAGAGAAAAACAGAGAAAAGCGACGCGCGGACAACGACGACGCATTCGCCGCAGTAAACCAGCTCGTGGCCGTCGGTGGCTGCGAAGTCGATTGTAAACGATAAGCGAGCGGCACGCTTTCATTTTCCACTCTCAATATCTACTCGCAATTGCGAAGCACGTGCACGGATTCTTGTTTAAAACAGATCGATGCCGCAGATTGTCGACATTGTTGCGCGGGCTAACTTTCAGCGGATGACAAGGCGAGTCGCGACGCTGCTGTAAATGTATGCGCGATACACATCGGACGCTATCGACGCGAATATTAAACAGAATGAATACAAAGCGCTCTTCCCGCACGAAGGGCCTTTTTCCGAGAGCGCGAATTTCACTTATTTCTTCACGTTCATCGCCGTGCGAAAGATTCTTCGCGTTCTCACCGGACCGGGATAAGAATAATTCACGGCGGGGGAGGACGATTTCCGATTTCCGGCGATTTCGCGCAAGGCCGCGCGGCGTCGTAGACAATGGCGGCCCCCGGCGGAACGTTGATAGCAGCGCGCGGTTGCTTCGAGTGTCTCGTATCCATCGTGTAAGGATATCCAGCGGGACAAAGAACGAGGGTGGGCTTTGCGACGCAATAACGCAGACGTAGGTCGCGCGCTACGGTGTGCACCGTGCGCGTCTGGCAGGTGCGCCTGCCATTGTGTCGGCCGGCGCGGGGACCGTTGTCCTTTCCTCGTCGTAAAACGTCACCGAGCCGTCGGCCGAACGGACGGACAATAAGTGGTTAAATGACACTTCGTTCCTAACACCCTTGCGTTCGCGGTTTCACCGCCGGCGAGAGAGAGAGAGAGAGAGAAGTGCGCGCCCACCCGCTCGTTCGCGCCGGTACGCCAGATATTGAAATATAAATGCGCTCTTTTATGGGCCCGGCCGGCGGTATTTTTGGAACTGACATCCCTCAGTCGCATCCCGCGAAACGATTCTCCTGAATCCGAAGCCCGTATAACCTGCCACGCGCAAAATTTACGCGGTTTCGCCGAATGGCCGGTCGGGACAGGCAAAGGGATGTCGGTTTTCCCCGGTAACGGCCGCTTTTAACGGTCATCATACGTCAGGTGTCCGGTTTTGTTAACGGTTAATAATGGCTCACGGTTTAATCGGCGGCATACGTCTCTCTGTTATGATGTAACTGTCTGATATCTTCTAATTCGCAGCGTGAAATATCCCTCGTATCGTTTCCCGTAAAGGAACAAGTGATTCACGCCTCTTCTCGCTGTGTTCAACTTTTCCTACACACAGGAATTATATCTCAGGTGTAGCTTACCGGAAATCGACGGAATTCAAGTTACGAGCGTGTTGTCTCTCTCCGCGAAAAAAAAAAGAGGAACTTGTAGTTGATGAACGCGAGTGTTCTAAAAGCGTGTCGAAAGCTACGCGAAGATATTACACGGGTACCAGTGACGTTCAATTTCTCGTCACTGCATAACGCAGGTGCTCTTTCGCGTCCTCAACGTGTCTGTCTACGCGCCACTTAAACCGCAGGCACCCTTTCCGCGGGAGGAGGAGGGAAGGACAGAGAGATCGTGATATCGCTTATGTCTGATCTCGTCCTATCGAATTGTCCCCGCTGTCGTCAAAGGAGAATATCCGCTCCAAGGCTGCAATCAGAATACGCGGCGATAACGCTTTCTCTCTCTCTCTCTCTCTTTCTTTCTCACATCCTACCCGCCGGGAGCGTCGACGGAGAACACGAAGGGCTGAGAGCCGCGAAATGGAACAGATTCGATAGCCGGCTCTCGCGGAATATCTCATTTTCCAAACCGGGCTGGCCGTCGAGCAGAGATCCTCACCGTGTCACATCGTCCGCGTGGGATTTATATCCCCAGGGCCTCGAGGCGGCGTCCCCTTCGCGGAGAATTTCCATTGAAAGATTCGCAGGACCCCCAGAGGGTGGTCGTGACGAGTGTCGGCGAATGTGTCGGCCTCAGGGGCGGAGAAACTTAATTCACTGCCCTCCCTTCCTCGTCTCGCTCGCTCCTTCTCTTGGCCTCTCGCTCCCTCCTGCGTGTGTCTCCCCCTCCCTCCCTCCCTCGTCCTCTCGCTCTGTCTCTTCCTCGTTCTCTCGGCACTCGCTGATCTATCTCTATACCCCCCCCCCTCCCCCCTCCCCTACCCTCGGAACCCCGTTGTTTCTTTGTGACTAACTGTGCCGCCGTCATCGTAGTTGTCGCATATTTTCGATTAATTGTCGGTAATCGCCGCGGGTGAGCGAGCATTAAAAGCTCGCTCTCTCTCTCTCTCTATCTCTCTCTGCATGCCGAAGAGGATTTCATTGTTTACGCGACGACTGCGTGTTAACGTACGCTCGAATCTGTCACAAGTTGATTGAGACCATGACAATTACTCCCCGAACTTTTTAATTCTACGTTTTTAAATTCTTCAAGTGGAAAAAACGGCAATAATGTCCTTATTTGTAGCACCAAAGGGACACAATAGAAGATCTTTGACCATTTCATGTAGAACTAAATTAGACTTAAACTAGGATTTCGAAAATTTCGAAGCTTCGAGACATTGAAACTACAAGATCTTTACACCATGTAGCATCCGAATCGGGAAGATTTACTCCAATCGCGTTGCTGTTGGAAATTTTATTGATCCAACAGAATTTTCTTTCAGCGTAAATATACAGGTTACTGAATAAAGTCCGAATGAATCCCGGCGGCTTTTCGGGCATAGATAAGAGACCAACTCGGCTGATTCATCTATCTGTCTTTATCGGCGACGGAGAATTTATCGACGACCATAAAGTCGTCGCCGCGTCCACTTCTCGCAAGGAGCGTCCGTTTCTCGCCGCAGGAACGCGCTCGATTAACGATCTCGTCGCAATCAGTTGCGATCATTCCTTGCATCTCAATCGCCGACGATTTACGACCGCACTTCTCAGACCGCGTAACGAATGTATATACGATCTCTCGTGATCGGCGTTCGCGTTAACACGACGATTCCTTTGTGTCGCGCAACGCGAATCGTTTCTGCCGCATCGCGAACGAAGATTCATTTAGGCTTGGGAAAATTTTACGAGTTCAATGAAAAATCGAAAGAATCACGAGAGACGAGAAACAGCTCGATTCAACCGCCGCTCGGCCGCAATTCGCTGTTCTCTCCGCTATATTTTTAACCGATTGAAATTGAAGTCTTCACGAAGCGCAGCCGAGAGCATCTGTCTATTATAATAATATCTGTAGACTCTTCTCATATATATCCGAGTATATTCCCGAACGGTTCGTAGCTGTGGCGGAAGTATAAAGCTGAATATGCGATCGGCCACGGAGTCGTCATAAAAGTACGGTCGTAAAAGCGACGTACCATGAAGACATGCCGTAAAGATTTACGAACGAGATGTTGCGGGATTCGCAAGCACTCGTGATCGCCGATATCACCACGGTTCTGCCAAATGAGTCTTTCCTCCAACGATCTCCAACGAACGAAGAAAACCGTCCCATATGACCTTCGACCGAACGCCTCGCAGTGACACAATTACCGACACTTCGTGCCGTATTTGTTCGGCAAAGCGAGAAATCAAAGTGTACACTTTACGGACCACCAATCGTGGACTCATCGTGTTGACGCGACTGTCGCAAAAACCGTTTCACTCGCAATTTTTCCGCAGATTTCTCTGCGGTTTCTGTCGTGAGGGTGCCAAAATTCGTTTAGAAAAACTCCGTGTTCGGTGGGAAAGGCGCCACGTTTGCTTCTATTCTAAAGAAGGTATATAAAAAAACTGAACAAATCCGCGGGAGAAATTGGGGAGAGACGGTTTTCCTCCGGAACTTTCGCACTAGTACCGAGCACTATGCTGTAAGACATTCGCACCTGCCTATTGTCAACATTACCTTCTCGAAGGATTTTAACCCTCACAAGTCCACTTGTCATACGTTGGTTTAATCAATTTTCATTCTTTGTTCCCTTTCCTTAAGATTACGTTAAAACTGCCAACTCCCGGATTCTCCCCGGAAATCTTGGAGATCGTAAGAGAATCACTTGGCATCCGCGACCTCTTCTAAAGGGCGCTCTTATCAAGTGCGTTGCTTCGTTCGCTTCTTTTTTTACGCGTCGCAAGTACGCACCGTCGAGTACGTGACAGTACGTAGCCGCATATAGCATACAAGTCACGTTGCC